ATAAAAATCTCTTTGAGGACAATTACATGACAGGAAAATATACTCGTGGATAAGGAAAGGACTTATAACTCTATATTTATGACAAAAACAAACAATATAAAGCCTCTGTGAAAAGAAAAACCAGTAAGACTAATTAACTTGTTAAACAAAGAACATCTGGAATTGAAAACAGAATTCAAACAGAAACAGATAAAGTCTTTCTTTCAGAAAGTAAACTAGCCTTCCCTGCCCCATGTTCCTATAAAAAACACACACAAAAATGTTTTGTGCAATTACATTCAAAGGTCCTGACATGAATGGATAGGCTTCCAGCAAGTGGACTGCTAGATGGTAAGAAGCTGGACAGAAAGACTTCACAGAGCAAAGAAGCCAAAATGGAGAAGTCATTCATATAGGACTTGTATAATCCCTAAGGATGTATGTTACTTCCTGCACCAATCAGCTCCTGTAAGTGTATTCACTACTTAAATATCTGAGATACATGGAAGATTGTAAGATTAACTTTTTTTTTTCTTTTGGTAGCTGGTCAGTACTGGAAGATTAATATTCTGGTATGAAAATTCTTTCCTTGACATGCTATCAGTTGAGATATACTTTAAACTTGTAAAAAAGACTCCTAACTCTCATTTGAAAAAAAACAATGGTTTCTGGGAATAAAAGCTGGAATGAGAAGAAACATTTCAGAGTTGAGCAATAACAGCTGTATCCCTAACTAAAATAAGGTACATGAATCTAGTTTTCAGATAGAGGCTCCTCAAACAAGGGAAGAGGGAAGAAAGCCCATCCGAGCACAGACTAAAGTGACCAGAGAACTGACAACTTCGGTGCCAAGAGTTAAAGCAGTTTTTTCCAAAATGATCAAAAATAAGGATCCTTTTCTTATGACATTTATGACTTTGACATTCAAATCTGTTTTAAAAATTGTTTACTCAATTCTCTAAATATTAATTAACAGGAAATAAAAACATTAGTCTTTACATTAAGCATAGCCCAGGATACCATATTTAGGCCTAGGATTTGAATTTTTAAAAATAACTTTAGTAACAATTTTAAAACATTTTAGATAATTTCAAACACTAAAAAATAGTGTTTCATATTGGATTGCCTAGAGTTCTCTGTGATGTTTAATTTAAAAACTGGAGGCACTATCACCAAATTTCCAGAATTTTCTAAATTTCTAGAAAATTTCTACACATACTAGTTCTAAACTAAGTATTTCTGAAGTTTTTATTAAAATTGTCAAAAAAAATTGACTTTTAAGAAAGTAAAGTTTATCACTGTTGGGGAAAAGAAAGAACACCTTAGCATGAATACCAAATGTATCCTAGATCCTTTAAAATTTAGAAATCTGCTGGCATTTTATCTATTGTCTGCCTTTTTTTCTCTTTAGTAACTGGGTCTAGAGTTGAAATCTTATATAGTTAAATACACATGACGTAATTCAACTACGCAAATTCACATATGCATGCCTGAAAACAACAAAAATTAGTAAAAAATACAAAAATTAAAATATATACCCCTTCTCTACTCATTCTATGTAGGGCTCCTAATAAGTGGCAAGATAACTCAATACTAAATTCCCATGTATACTGAATCAGAAACTATATATTCATGCCGTCGGTGTACAAGGCTCATGACTTAGTCTGCACCACTGAGCACAATATGACTGGGACTCTGTGCAAAAGTGTTATCTACAGACATTACCAGATAATCACACAAACACGAGTAAACTCACACTCTCACTAACATGAGGAAGCTACATATGCACTGTATAAAGCTTTGAACCTAACACTACCTATCCTAGGATTAATGGGAATTCACTGAAAGGGGTTTAGGCTGGGGAAAAACAAGATCACAATGAACCCAGCTTTCCTCAACTGCCAATTTCATGAAAACTGGTGCATAGATTTCTGAATTCAAATCTATTTTTGTGTACCAAGGAACTACACTGATGCAAACAGAACCTATAATAAATCTGAAATTTGGCTTCCTAACTTGAATTTTTCGTCAATTTGTGTGTGTGTGTGTGTGTGTGTGTACATAGCCATTTTATAAAGCAAAATTCAATTTAATGAACACTAATTGAAGCCCAACCACAGAAAAGTACTAGGACAGAAAGTAAAGGATAGATGGCTGTCCATTAAGTACCAGGATAGAGCCTACAGAGCATATGGCCATCAATAAGACATCTCCAAAGCACTTTAACAAGCCCACAACAGTACTGTGTTCATTATTTTACAATTTTACTCCAGTGAAAATTAGTTTAAGAGCATAAGTTTGGCTTTACTTAATTATGCTTAGTTCATCTTATAATTTAGGGACTAGCACTATGCAGAGCACTTGGCAATAAAGCATACCCTCATTAAATGTTTACAAAATTAAACTTATATTCATAGTAGGCAAGTTTAATCTAGAAGTAGAAAAAGGAAAAATAATTTTACTCAACAAAGATCTGGCTTATAAATAAAAAGAGAGGAGAGAGACTAGAATTTATCTCCCTCCCCAACAATACCAGGGCACTTCAAAAAGTTTGTGAAAAAATGGAATTAAAAGATAATACAAAATCTCTCCATGAACTTTTGGAAGACCCCTCATAGTTTGGTGAACTTTTTTTTTTTTTTTTTTTTTTTTTGTCTTTTTTGTGACAGGTAAGGGGATCGCAACCCTTGGCTTGGTGTCGCCCGCACCGCGCTCAGCCAGTGAGCGCACCGGCCATTCCTATATAGGATCTGAACCCGCAGCGGGAGCGTCGCTGCACTCCCAGCACCGCACTCTCCAGAGTGCGCCACGGAGCCGGCCCCTTGGTGAACTTTTTAATAACATAATACCTCTACTGTATTTTTAAAAAATAGATTCCACATTCGACTACTGTCTCTAAGGGAGACTGATAACAGAAGTAAGAAGAACACTGCATTTTCTACACCACAAGTTCACTGTCACTTCAGCTTAAGCTACTGCATTTGAGGCTTAAAGAAAGATACAATACCTGTTAAACAGTGGTAAGTACCTGAGCTAAAGAGGATATCTCTCAAATTATATCACACGGGTAGCTAATTTCTTTTTTTTTTTTTTTTTTTGTGACCGGTAAGGGGATCGCAACCCTTGGCTTGGTGTCGCCCGCACCGCTCTCAGCCAGTGAGCGCACTGGCCATCCCTACGTAGGATCCGAACCCGCGGCAGAGCGCCCCACACCGCACTCTCCCGAGTGTGCCACGACCCGTAGCTCATTTCTAACCCAACTATTTCCTATCACCCACACACACTTCCCATCTCAAAAACAAAAAACATTACACCTTGCAGAAACTTTTCCAATTGCAGTTCAGCAATATTTGCCATCCTCAGAGCACTATATAACTTAAAAATACATTCAATTTCTCACAAAATTTTTCTCCTGTTATCCCTTCTTTTAACATCCTGCAAGTATTATAAGGTCTTCTGGTATCAAATACAATCATATCTGCACAAACGAAAAATAAAAGTAAATGAAAATTCCAAGTGACTATTCTAATTTTATAGTAGTAAACATGTTTTTTTATATACACATCAATTACATACAACATTGTTTTACATTTATTTCTTAAATTACAATTGCTTTTTCACATCAAATTGTATCCCTATAGTCCAAATAAAGCATGAAAACAAGTCCAATAATGATTTTAACAGAGATGTTCACGATCCTGAGAAAAAACAAGAAGTACTTAAAATGTTGGTGCTTTACAACAAGTAGCAGATAAACTACCTTAGAAGAAAAGTATCCAATGACTAAAACCATACATGCTTGGGTAATGCAATTAATAAAACAGCTTTTTAAACAAGTGCTTTCAATAGGGATTGGAACTCAATAAATGCCACTTAATTTTTTTAAAATAACTAATTTTTAGAATTTAGTAAGTACTCTAAAGAAAAAAAAAGCTAAATATAAAGAAATGACACCACAAAGAGCCAGCTTCGGAAACTATATAATTTATAAATGATAACTACAAATCAAGGAACTTTCTAAAAAATACTCTGAACCTTAAATCCAATACTTAACTTTATTTTTTGACTAATCACCTGATTATACACTCAGATCCTTCATTTAAACTTTTTGGCTAAATGCTACAAATGCTATCTGCTGAAGTAAAAAAGCTAAACATTCAAATAGGCCATTTAGATATTTCCTGAAAATCAGATTATTTAGCCTAAATATAAGACTACCTCTGTTCAAATGGCATTAAAATTATATGGTCTGTTCCATTTTTTTCCACACTGTTTTTAAAAAGAATATGTACTCACTGGATTAATAAAACCATAAACAAACCATATATCAAATCAACCAAAAGTTCAAATAAAATAAAACGTGTACATTTGAACAAACACAACTAGTTAATGAACATTTTTCTTCTAGCTAAAACATATGAGAATGGATAAAATTATGAAAAAATACAGAAAAGTGTGCATGTCTCTGCATGTACAAGTGAATGGCAGAAAGAGGAAGAGAGAAGGTGTACTTTCTTTTAAAAATACTTAAACGCCTTCATTTTAAAATATAAACTAATGGCTCATTAAGACTTTGGAGGTTCTTTTGAAAAACAAACAGAAATCTCATTTTTATTCCCTAGAATTTCACACACACACCCACATATACACAAATGCCCATGTGCCTGCATGCAGGGACACACACAACACACACACAGACACATAGTTCCTATAATAAAGCAAGGTCCTTTCCCTCTTGACACAAGGAAATAATAAAATCAGAATTTATATTCTCTAAGATGAAAAGCATTCCACTCATGATCCTGATTCAACAATTTTACAGTTAAACAAAATTAATTCCACTCTCAAAAATCCATTGACCTTAAGCTTTTAACAAACATTTTCCACTGCAGAAATTATTGTCAATATTTACAAATCCTTCAAGTTATATTTGGCTGGACCCCCTTGCATGTTCTATATTACTATTTCTTACGAAATGTGTGCTCATCCCTGTCAGAGCAGAAGCAGCAGCTGCTACTCACCGGGAATCTCTGGGGTCCCACGGCAGGTCTTGGCTGGCTTGGAACTGGCAGCAAGGGCACTGCGAGAAAACAACTTGCGTTACAAATACACTTTATCCACTGGAAAAGGAAGACAATATGGGAAGTGCAATATAAAACACATACTGGGTATATAATACAGAGAATAATATATAATGTTTACACTTACGCTAAAGCACTTAGTATTTTTAACAATTCCATAAAAAGAAAGGGGAGAGCAGACGTTTTCTTTTCAGCACACAACAGCACAGGCAGATGCTGAAAGTGCGGTAGTGAATTAGTGCTCAGAATTAAACTATTTTGCAACAAAAGACAGTATTCCTCATATATCGTTTGTTTCTCACATTCCTATCCAGGTTACTCGGGCTATCAAAGCCCAGTTACATTTTCCTACCTCAATCATATACAAAAGTAAATCTTCTAAAATCATGAAAGAGAGAAAGGGAGGGAGGGAGGAAATGCGGCAGAGAAAGGAAAATAGACTCTGGAAACTGGAGAAAATGCTCACATACTGTTACAAAGAACTACTAAACCATCTACTATGCCAGTTTTAGTTCGTTTTTTGTTTTAAATGAGCAGAATTCCCGTCAATCTACCAGAAGAACAAGAAATCAAACTATTTTTAAGTAGATATTTCATAATAGGGAAGAAGCTAGATGTCAGTTTCACACATTGGGGCTAAATCCAGATGTGTGTTAAGATGTGATATACTGATCTTGATTTTGAAAAAAACTTATCACCTTTCACTAAAATGTGCTGCCAGATGCACCAAGAAAACTCTTGATTGTCAGGTGTTGCAGGCTGAATTATGTACCCTGCCTCAACTTCACCCCAAACTGTATGTTGAAGCCCCAAGCCCCAGTACCTCAGAATGTGACATTTGGAGATAAGGTCTTTAAACAGGTAATTAATATAAAATGAGGTCTTTAAGGTGGGACTTAATCCAACCTGACTAGTGTCCTTATAAGACAGGGAAATTTAGACACAGACTTGCACACACACAGAAGGGGAAGATCATGTGAGGACACAGGGAGAAGGTGGCCAATGACAAGCCAAGGAAAGAGGCCTCGGGAGAACCAAGCCTGCCCACACCTTGACCTCGGACTTGTAGGCTCCAGACCTGTGAGAAATAAATTCAGTCTGTGGTACTTGTTATGGCAGCCTTAGCAGACTGAGACACATCAGGTAAGGTTTGCAAGGTAGCATGTTTTAATTTAAGTTTCTGGTGAATGAGAAATATAGAAATGATACATCTTAATAGTCCACCAAAATTACTTCAAAAATAGAGTGGTAGGATGAGCTATTTTTAATTTACTATGATTACTCAAGGAATTCTGTACATCAGCCTCATAATTAACATCATACTTCCACAGGTTCAATTTAAAGTGATGGTCAATGCAAAGCTTGACTAAGAGAAGCTTACTTTTACAAAATATAAAAATGGCAGAAATCTATCCCTCCCCTGAGAGACTAATCTAGTGAGTCAAAATTTCAAAATTAGAGAGGATCAATTTGCAAGACTTTAAGTAAAATGAAATCCACTCTCCCCAATTCCACATAGCTAGAAGTACATCAGTTATGTCTCTGAAGCAGAGAAAGAAAACACAAGAATATCTCTAACCTCAGAAGATTATAATGAAGGTGACGAAGAAAAAACTTACACATTAAATAATATAAAGACAGGATTTTAAAAATTAAGTACCAAATATAAAACACCCAGATCTTCAAGAACTCTGTCATACGTACCACTTGTATTAACTTGGAATCTAAATGTCAATACCTATCAAATAATTCTAGTACAATGAAAGGGTAAAAATGTTAAGCCTCCTTAACTTGGGGAATAACAGCAAGAAGTTGAGGTGAGACCTCTGGGAAGAAATCTAATTATAATGAATGGATTGCTCACACAGAAGCCTCTGATGAGCTGGTTATTTCCATAAAGTGTAAGCCTTTTTTCTCCTTTAAAAAAAAAAAAAAGATACATAAAGTGTGTAGAAAAACAACAAAAGAGAAGAGAAAAAGAATAACAGCTGACTAAAGAGAGTATCTGAGAACAGGTGTGACCGGAGCAGATCAGACAGTGGTCCAGCCCAGAAAGAAGCCTCGGTCAGAATGTCCGGGTGACTGCAAACTGCCCACACCCGGGCCCTGTGAGCAGCTGGCTTTGGAAGCAGGAAGACAAGGCTACCCAACTGCCTCCTTGCACCACTATGGGCAGAAGAGAATTTAAATCTCGTAATGTGAGAGAACAGTCTAGTTGAACCTTATATTTGAATATTTGATATTTAATATTTATATCCTTGTTGTCCCATGTATTTAATGGACTAACATAAATTTTCAATTCATTACAATAATTATCGTAGTAAAAATATGGAAAACAAGTTGAATTTCCATCCAAACTGGTTAAATAAATCATAATATAATGGAATGTTCTTCATCCTCAAAAAGAAACTGTGCCATCAGGAAAAGATGACTATATATTGTTAATTTTTTTTACAAAAAGATTTTTAAATGTACTTTTACTCACATAAGGCTCTAAGAACCGCTGGTTTAATCTATATATCTTACATGTACAGAAGACATGTTGATGGCCTCACTCTAAAAAATGTAGATTTCTATGTAAGCTCACTCATTTATGAGTGGATAAACAACTGCCTCAAAAGTGCTACGTATCTGCATCCAGCAAGGATGATTTCTACTCTCTCTGCATCAGCGCACCTCTGAAGATCAAAGGTGAGTTAATGAGAAGGAACATGGAGCACTGAAGTGCCTGGCTTCTAGGAGAAAAAAAATTTAGCTGGTTCTAAGAGTTTAAAACTTTTGTCAGAAAGCTGACCTTGTAATTAATGAATCATGCATGAGCTTTGGGGTGCAAGGCCTGCACTCTTTACCTATTAAGACTGTTGACTTTTGGCAAGGGACACCATTTACATGCCCAGAAGATATCTCAGGGTTTCTTTATAGCTTTTCCACTCTGTAGTTGTAATACTATTTTATTTTTCTTAGAAAATCTGTGCATTTTACCAACTGCCTGTTTTCCACTGAATTTTACAGGGAAATAACACAACAATAGCAGATGCTGGTTAAGTAAATTATTCTGACAAATTAGATTTACTACAGTTCCAGTTAAGGGAAACAACGTAGATAAAATGCAAAGATTATTTTAATGAGCACCATCCTTCCCCCACTCCCTCACAGCTACTAAATGAGACACAGGCATCATGCTGGCCAGTGATGCACGTACACTGCCTGCCCTTCGGATGCTCAGAGCCATGCATGAGGACGAGGGTCATGAGTTATTCTAACACAGGTGGGAAGAGCTGTGACGCACATGGGGACACACAGTGGAATAAGTTACGTCAGCTCCTCCTTGGGAAGGAGGACCCAGAGGAGCTGATCACGCTTTATAACCTCCTATTTCTCTGCCATGCCAAATGGCCTACTGTCAAACAAAAGCAGTCTCCTGATGGTAACCCACACAGTCAACAGGGGTCCATAACATCCCACCGAGGGCCACCATCACAGCCTGCTGCTCCAGGCCCACAGGACAACCTCATGATGCTTCTGACCTGAGTATGTCGGTATGGAACGGTCCCAGGCTCCAGGCCACTGGCCATCATCCACAAGTCCTGTCTTAGGCTTCTCCTAACTTCTGAAATGTATCCCCCACACTCTTTGGAATCCCAAGTTCACCACCAGCAGAATCTATGACATCCTTCAGTCCCTCCACCTTCTTGCTCTAATGCAAACTAGACCCTCCCCTGAGGCTCTGCTAAGTGGCAGCTTCTTGCAGGGTCTGGAGGTGGGGTGGGCTCCTTCTTGATCTCACCACTGTGTGTAGACCCCACCCTGAACTCATGTCATCAGATGACATCCCCACCATTCACTGCACCCCTGGTGTCTCAGGGAACTCAACTCCTGCTTCACTGCTGCCATCTTGCATGCTCATCCAGGCAGTGTCTCGGCTCTTTGAACAGATGCAGAGAGGGTCCTTCCAGTGCCCTGCCTCTCGAGTCCATGCTACCTCAGCTGCCAGTCTTTATGGCCATCGCATCATCGACTGCCACCTTGCTTTCCACTGTCTCCACACAGCCCACCTCTTAGCACTACCTTCTATCTTTCCACCTTACTCCTCCCGCCAGGACCCTGATGCAAACACTCACTAAGCTCTGCAAAACTCTAGAGATCCCCTCCTGTTCACTCTCTCCTCCCCCTGCACCTACTGCACCCCCCAGAGCTCACCACCGTATGCACCGCCTGCCCTTCAGGGCATTGTTAAGCACAGCCCTGGTAAACCCAGCTGTCTATTCCACACCCAACACAGGACTCTTCTCCTCCCCTAGAGGACTTCTTAACTTCCCTCCTCAGGCCTTGACACATCCTCCTACCTCACCACCCTTGGCTGCGTGCTGCTTGCTGAAGCCATCAGGAAAGAACTTCAGACTCCTTGACCTCCCCAGCCCCCTATGCTCAAGTCTCAGCACACCTGCCTCTGTGCCCACGGTCCTGGCCAGACAAGGCTCCTGTCTCACCTACATCAGTGGTTTTTTTTCCTTCTCAACTAGTTTTTTCTGTAAGCGTACAATGTTACTTTTCCCCATCTTAAAATAAAAAACTTTCTCTCAAGCCCACTTCCTCCCATCAATTATCACCTAACTTCTGTTTCAGCAAAGCACCATCAAAGCTGGTCACACAATGACCTCCAGTTCTGCGCCCCATCTCAGTCAGGCCTGTACTTCCCCACTCCACTTCAAAGCCCCCCCATCAAACCCCTAAAACCTCCCTACCCCTAAGGGCAGTCTGCACCCCACTGACCCGTCAGTGGTGGGCCCCACCCGCCCCGTGGCCACCGCTTCCTTTCTCCGTCCTCGCCCACTACACTCGTTCCTCCTCCCAGCTCCTCTGCCAGGCTCTCCTCTTGCCCCCACCTCTCATGTCGAGTCCTTGGTCCCCACACATCAACATCCCTCCTCCAAGGCCTCTTGGGTGCAGGCTCCAGATCCACCTACGTGCCAACAGTCGTCCAGTTTGTACCTTGAGTTTGGACCCTTCATCTGAACTCTTCTCAATTGTCTACTAGACACCTCCACAGGCACGTGAGGTTGGTAACTCAAATTTAACACACCAAGAACAGAAATTTTGGTCTCCCCGCCACCTCGTGGCAATTCCACCCCTCCAAGCACTCAGGCCCCTCTGGAGCTGTAGTGCCTTCTCTCTCCCCACCCCCATCATCCCATTCATCAGCAAACCCTACTGGCTCCCTCTTCCCACTCCATCCAGCATCTGAGCATGCCTCACCACCTGCTATCATGCTGACCTGAGCCTCTAGCGCCTGCCCCCTGGACTCCTGGAGTCACCTCCTCGCTAGACACACAATTCCACCCTTGCCACCCTACAGCCCCCTCTAGAACAACAGCAAGTTGATCCTTGTAAAACATATAGCATGTCATGTCACTCCTCTGCTCAAGCCCCCCTAGTCACTGCCCATTTTGCTCAGAGTAAAAGCTAAAGTCCTTGGGATGGCTCAGAGGCCCACGTGAGCTGGGTGCTAAATTTCTTCTCTGCTTTTATGACCCCACTCAAGTCATGCTGGTCTCTTTTGGGTCACTCAACATGCAGGCATGGTCTCACCCTGAGTAAGCCCCTCCGCACTTGCTCATCCCTCTGCCTGCAGCCTCCTTCCCTGGAACAGTCACAATGCTCACTTCCTAGTGTCCTTCAACGTCAACTGCTCAGTGAAGCCCACCCTGATCATCCTATTTAAGATGATTAGCCCTTCCCCCTATTCATGCCCCTCCCCCCCCTATTCTGCTCTATTTCTTTCACTGCATTTTCATCTTCTAACATGCTACATAAAATCCTTACTTATTAGGTTTATTGCTTATTGACTGTCTTTCTGCTAGAAAGTGAGAGCATGATTGTACAGCGCTTTGTCTGTTCTGTTCACCAATATAACACAAATGCCAGGGATAGAGTAGTATCTCAATAAACATGTTTCTGTAATAAAACCAGCAGTAATTCCACCGTGATTAACAATTAAAGGATGGGGCCGGCCCGGTGGCGCACTGCTACAGTGCGCCGCTTGGGAGCACGGTGGCGCTCCCGCGGAGGGTTCGGATCCCAAATACAGACCGGTTCCCGCTCACTGGCTGAGCGAGGGGCGGGCGCAGCACCGAGGGTTGCGATCCCATTGCCGGTCCCGGTCTGGTACGGGCGCGACACTGAGGGTTGCGGTCCGTTGCCGGACATGAAAAAAGACAAAAAGGAAAAAAAAAAAACAATTAAAGGATGGATTTGTCCCTCCCTACCAGCTGACATTGGAAACAAAGGGGGACATGCTGAATGGAACCCAAGAGGGACACTTGCTACGGCAAGCGTTCTCACCATGAGACTGATGAACTGCCACAGCTCAGACCTCAGCGACTGCCTCCAACATGTTCCTCACACTGACTGTGCTCTCTCAGTCCCTTCCCCTCAGTCATAGAGTAAGAGACATACATTTTTAAACAAATGAACTTGGCCTATTGAGCTAAAATGTGTCTACGCAAAGGAGGAAGGAACCGAGGAACACAACTCACCCTCACAAGCTTGAACATGGAAACTACTTGCCACAGTAATGGCTCCAGTAAAACTGGTGAACGCGTTTAGAGGCAAAGGAACCTGAAACATCACCACAGTAGAAGAAAACACATACCTTGAACAGGAGTGACCACCGTCCCTTTGAAGTGTGGATTGATATGGATGTTCTTAGGCTGCTGAGGTGTCACGGGTGGAGGGGTCATCATTATTCTCGGGGTCTCTATCTGGGGAGGCATGTGCATCCCCTGAGGCGGGGAGGGGTGGTGCGGGTGCTGCAAGGGGAGCAGAGGCTGCAGCTGCTGCTGCTGGAACAAACTTCTGATCGGCTGCTGCTGAGGAGGGGGCGGCGGCGGTGGAGGGGGAGGCTGTGGCTGTGGCGGAGGAATTAATCTTGGAGAATGAGTCTAAAAATCACAAAAAAATCCACAGAAATAAACATTCAGAAGAAAAGTAAAAGAATGCTTTTACACATTCACATTCATTAAACTTCAAAGGTTTCAATTTAAGAAATAAGTTTATCTTAGCAACTCGTATAGAAACAGCAGGATACATAGGCCATTCCGCCTACTCACCGTGAAGGCTATGGTCTCACAACTGAGTCAACCTCAAGGCAAGGAGGAAAAATGGCAGCCTCAAAACACCCAGCATGTATTTTGAAAATAAAAAGTTCAGTTCAGCAAACAGCACTGCCTACAACGAGCAAAGCCCTGCACTGGGGACAAAAAAGGAACCCACACCCCTGGTCCTCCTCCAGGACATCTGGTGAGGCGGATGGGAACATGCATGAGGAACCTGCCACAGAAAAGAAGTGTCAGAAAAGGACAGGGCTGAAGAGATATTAACTTCATTAGGGGATGGGAGGAAGCATCTTTGAGAAGGTGGCGACTGATGGAGGAAGAGGAGAGACGTGCCGTGCAGAATAAGCAGCAGAATAACTGGAAAGAGGCAGAGGCAGGAAAGACCAACCTGTTTGGTAAATTAGGAGGAAACCAGGACGGCTGCAGCCACAGAGAAAGAAAAGGAAAGAAGGCGAGAGTGTGAAAATCACACAAGAGTGGTCAAACCAGCAACAGCACCAGCTGCCATGTGCTAAGCCCTGCCCACATTTTAAGTGCCTGTTGTAAAGTCAGTAAAGAAAGTAATTGACCTAGTTCATAACAATCCTATGAAGTAGGTGCTATTTATTAAACTCCTTTTACAAGATCTAAGTAGCTGGTAAGCAGAAGAGCTGGAACTGGAATTCAGACAATCAGATTCCACAAGTTTTGCTTTTAACCACTAATCAAACTGGCCACATAGCTAATTAGCAGTAGAACACTACATCTAATTCAACAAGCTGCTTTCCCTGGGATGCTGCCAAATTACAGAGGTCCTTTGAATTCCACCTAAACCATCCATTATTAGGCCATATACATACAATGTGTATAATGAATCACTGATGATCTCTTTGGTAGGAAGATGATCACAGTGTGTGAGATGGACCCGAGTAAAGAAGACAGAAGAGAGACCATATACTTAATAGGCTGTGGCAAGGACTGAATGAAAGAAATGGCCAAGGTCTGACAAGAGCAAGAAGACATTCCAGAAGAAGAATGAGTAGAATTTCAAAACTAAATTGTATCTATCTTGAGCCGGCCCGGTGGCGCACTGGATAGTGCGCCGCTTGGGAAGCGCAGCAGTGCTCCCGCCCGAGGGTTCGGATCCCACATACGGACTGGTTCCCGCTCACTGGCTGAGCGAGGCGTGGGAGCAACGCCGAGGGTTGCGATCCCGTTGCCGGTCCCCGGTCCGGTACGGGGGCAACACTGAGGGTTGTGATCTGTTGCCGGACACGGAAAAAGACAAAAAAAAAAGACAAAATAAATAAATAAATAAATTGTATCTATCTTGCCTCCTCGGGGAGGACTTTTCCAAAGATTCCAGTACCAGCTGAAACCTGCTGCCATACACGCTCCCAGAATGCAGCATGTTCCCTTCTCTAACTCATCACATTTCAAAAGTGCACACCTGCAGTGAGAGTGGGGATCTTATCTATCTTATGCAACACTGTATTCCCATGGAGAGCACATAAACTGACAATGGGACATGCAACTTAAATTTTATTAAACTGGGAATGACCACAATGCATGGTCATTAATTCAAGAGCATAATGAAGTTTTGAGGGAAAGATCAGGTGTTGTTTTAAACAAGCGAAGACTGGGGCCTGTGAAACATCCATGTGGAGGTATAGGAACATTTGGCAAATGGAGAAACCAGAGCTGGAAAGAGGTTAGGCCGGAAACTAAGACTCACACAGACATGGCAGGTTATGGGAAGGACAATGCTGCCGAGTGAGAATGCTGACTTAAAAAAACGACTAAGAACAAAACCCTGAGAAGCAATGCAATTAAAGAAAAAGGGATTTCAAAAAAATAAGTATTTAAGATGATGGATATGTTAATTAGCTTGATATAATCATTCCACAATGTATACATACATCATATCATCACACTGTACCTCATAAACACACGCAATTATTTGTCAATTAAAAAATAAAAATTTAAATAAGGAAGGAAGGGAAAGATCAAAGGAGAAAAAGAAGGAATGATTCTAGAAGAGAGTACACCCAAAATCTCATTTGCCCAAAAAGGAGTGGCTCAGAAAAAAAAAAAAAGATAATCAATAATGCCCAGAACATAGTCCAGAAGGACAAGAGGTGAGAGAAGGCAAGGTGGCAACTCTGAGCGCACTGTTCAGGAGTGAAAAGAATGAAATCCAGGAGGCAGGGGACTGAGCAAATGGGCAGAAGCACAGACATGAGCTAAAAATCTTCTTTCCAGAACTTTGGAGGGTGAACAGTCAAGGAGACAGCACAACTCTATGCTGGGAAATGAAAAGATCAAGGGTGCTGGTGACATGGGAGGAAATACAGTAGGGGACGAGGATAAGTTTACTTTAGAAAGCCCTGATCTTTTCAGTAAACTGGCAATTTTAATACACCACCGACTAGCAAAGATTACAGTCCAAAGCTGCATCAGACTTAGGCCAGCTGTCTGGTTTATTCCCAGTTCACAGTGAGCTCTAACAGTCCAGATCAGTCACACTAGAACCCAGAGATACATCATCATCATCAGGTCTCCTAAACTTCTGGGACATTTTCTACAGCATTCAAATTCTCTCGGTTCGGCCTCTCTGAAGGAGGTAGGCAATGCATGTCCTTCCTCCCTTTGTGGATAAGAAAACAGGCAGTTCAGTAACTTCTCCAAAATCATGGAGACACAATTATGCAAACACTGGTCTTATGTGTAGTTTCCACCCAGGAGGCCAAAATAACTGACTTGGCTGTTCAATATTTGACAAGTGTGAGCTTGGGTGGGAAAAGAGGGCAGGAAAGGGGAAAAAAACTTAAAGGTCTAACTTTTTTGCTATTAGTGACTTTTAAGAACAAAACAGGTGCATGAGCAAACAGCAGTTACTAACATCATCAAATTCTGTATGCTGTAATCAACCTACCTGCTCCTCTTCCCTACTTACAAACAAATTACAATTCTCATGCTCAAACCAAAAATCATCTTTCTACTTTATTTCACAAATGAATGTCTCCTAAAATACAACATTTCTACAGAAGCAAAGTGTGGTTTTCCCCAAAATTCAGATAAAAATATGAGACGTGGACACACATTCATACTAAATAAAGATTGACTTCTGAAGGAAAAAGCTATAAAACCCTAAAGCTTAACTGAAAGAACAACAACAAAAACACACAATTCCTGTCTTTGCTTCTGAGATTTCCCATCTTTGAAATACAGAGGAAATTCTAATTAAGTTGAAATTATATGATTTATTCCTAAATTATGAAAAATTTTTAGGAATAGGACATGGTAATTACTGTAAGAGAAACTGCTAGTTAAGGAAAAACCTATGGTAAACAGTGTAAAGGAAAAATGTTTTTATAAAATAAACAACTGCCTAAATTTTACATGTACTATGTTCAGCATTTTCAACACAGTGTGCTTAGGAGAAGCACCTATCTAGAAGCAGAAGATAACAGCAAGGCTCCACTGCTGTTCTTGTCATTTGAGGACATCAGATCTCTCACTAATTCTTCCTTTGGAAGTAGCTGTTGTATAGGATTATTTTTTACTGACAGATTATTGGAGAACTGAATTTCTAAGACTACGTATGAAATCACTTTATAAACTATAAAACTTTAATTTCACACAAAGGAGAGAGAAACATAAAATATGGTACCCACAAAAGCATGCATTCGTTTGTTCTATCACAACAGAATCATAAACATTACCACAACAGGAGGCTGCGTGGGAAGCAGAGCGGGTCTGTGATCCTTCATTCTTGCCCTCTCACTGCTCTCTCTCCTCTGGTCTCCCATTCCACGGCACATGAGAGAGCCTCCTCTCCGTCCTCCCCGCCTGGAGCCATAGCGCCCCTGTTTATGCTGGCGCTCTCTTTCTTCAAATTCAAGCAATGCAGCTTTGGCTTCTGCTGAAAGCTCTATTTGAAAAGATGCACATGTGTTAGATATCTTCAAATGGCCCAAACTAGATTTATAGGGAGAAAACACGAACGAAATATGTGACAATGGAATTCTGGAACGGCAAGTGCTTCACTCACAATAAATACTAAACTAAACAGTAGCAAGTATGATACAATTGGCAATACCACAACCCATTAGTCAAATAATTAAAGGTAATTTCACAAAGAATGGAAAACTCGTTTAACACTATTTCAAGTTCTCATATTTATTAAAAATTTTTTTTCCCACTGTTAAGACCTCTATCCATGCAGTCTTCTTTAACAGTAAAGACAGGCTTTCCTTTGTAATAAAATACAAATATCGCCTATAAATTTTACAGTATTTTCAACTGAGACCACTAAAATGTGTTAAGTGAAGCTAAAAAGAAGGGGCTGAAGTTAAATACAACCAGTGCCCTTAAATGGCTAAACTTTCTGCAATCAATTCCTCTTTCACTGGTATACGGCACTGGTCAGGAGCTGTCTCCACCAGTCCTACACTAGTATGATCTTCTTATTGAAGCCAGAAGAAATATTAATATGCAATGGCACACAGACTCAAAAGAACAAATTCCCAATCCTTCTGATTTAAAAACAAAACTATTATTAAATTCACTCTGAAATCAAATAATTAAGGGTATTTCATAAAGAATGGAAAACTAGTTTAACACTATTTCATTTCAAATTTTATAAAAACTTTCCATTGTGAAGACAACTTCTACCCATGCAGTCTGCTATCAAAGCCATATCAAATGACAGCAAAGTCACATTATAAACGTCATTAATACAAACATCTGCGTAGCATCCAGTAGCTGCTCACCTCTGTGCCAATGCTTTAGGAATACAAAAAACATGAGCTCTGGCCCTAAGAAACTTCAGATGGCATACTTTCCTAAGGGGGAAAGAAACACCTTATCCAAACATGATCCCTTTATTTTATAGGAAAATCTAAATTGTGACAATAGATCTTACATTAATAAGTGCACATTTTCCAAACTGTCACTGAATACTGAAAAGCCTTCTCACACTTTCTTCCTCAGTGAAGGGTAAATTTTAAATACTACCAGAGTCTACCCCACACCTTGGATTCCATCATCTCTGAACTCTTCCAAAATCTCTAAGCCACATTTCATTTTCTTGAAATTGTTTCTGTGGTATTCCCCTCCCCTTCAAATGAATCTAGACCCCATTTGAAAGAAAATTTAATCTCCTTCTAACCAGCACAGACTTTTATTCTAATCTTGACTACATGATTGGTTCACACACACATTTTATGCAGTGAATCAGCAATTATTTTTCTAGTGGTTCTGAGTGTCAAGATTAATTTCACTATCCTCAGTAATAAAATGGTTTCAAATGACATCTTTAATCAGTAACTAAAAATGCTTTCCTCCAATTGAGACAAGCTGTCACAAAAGGTCACCAAAATATGACAGGATGGAAATTACATTTGTAACTTCAACTGAAATGTTAATTTCCCTTTAAGTGTTTTCTGAACTATGTCCAGATTCTAAAGTAAAGAGATATAACTTAATGTAACAAAGTTTTACAGTGTATTATCTTTCTAAAATGTTATGAAAAATATATTTGCATGCAAATAATTTTATAATAGTTAGAAATGGATATTTATAGAATATAAAATTTGTTTGGCAAAATAAAAATAACAAATAATAGCCTGGGATTGTCTTACAAAATAACTAAATCAAGAAATGTTTAAAAACTGTGTACATACAAGGACCATAGTATAAAACTAGCACAGTATGCTACTGCTGGCACTAACAATCTTGAACTGTTTATCACTAGATAAAAATGGTTTTCTCATAGAACCTTTGCCTAAAATAAAATTGACTAAGTATATTATTTCAAGAGAACATTATGTGGGTATAAAAAGCAGGTTCTTTAGGCTAAAGCAATAAAAAGTAAGTTAACATATTATATACATGCCAACAAACTTAGAATAACACAAAATCTAGAAGCCTACCCATAGGTAATGAATTAAAAAGCCTAACTAAAGTAAATTCAGTTTTTCATTTATGGCTTGAACTGCTTTCAAAGACAATCTGAGGACCACTTCCTAAAGCAACAGAAGAGACAACTCTGAACTTCTGGGGCTGACACTTGAAGGAAACTGGCCAATGCCGCCCCGCTTTTAAAGATGGCTAGTGACATTTTCATTCAAAATAAATCGTTCCCTTACGCATGTATGTTCTAGTAACCCTGTTCAACTGGGTTCCATAAGAGAACTAAACACTTAAATTCTACAGCATCCTCTGTATGTAATGAATTAATTTATCTCCTAAGTATGTAGTTTTGTACTATCATTGAGAAAACTGAGAAAATAGTCACCCAAATATTCTTCTGTAAGGTTTAATTTCTGGAATTCCTGGTTGAGGAAAAGCAGCTAACCGATTAAGATCTTAACCTAAATGAAAGCCCAAAATTCTACTTCTAATCCAGTATGAGTTCAAAATACAAGCCAACAAACCAACAACATGCATTAGGTTCCTTAACTGTCGAGGGTGCCATATACATAAATTAGTGTTTTCCATATTTTAGAATGACATGATGTATATGAATGTGAAAAAAAGACTAAAAGTGAAAAAACTCCCTTCTAGATTTTGAATAGAATTCACTATTTCACATGATAACTTTCAGTGTCAAAAATGGCAGGGCACCACAGCATTATTTGATTCTTCTTTTCAAAGAATGGAGTGTTCTCAACATTAATCAATGATATCACAAAAAAAGTTTATTTGCATTCAAAATGTTAAAAGACATCATTTGCCAAAAAATACATATGATATGAGACAACATATGTACTCTAGTAACAAGATACTTTAATCCTATTGAAAGAGTAGGCGAACAGCTTTATACAATCAAATAAATGCAATTATTTCTGTACAGAACCTGAAACTGATATTTTCGATCACTAGGAACACACAAATAAACTAATAGGTAAAAATTTACATAGATTTCTAGTTTACCAAATATTGTTGTATCCTCTCTTTTTGATAAATATTTTCCTCATACGTAAAATTAATCCTTTGTTTGTGAGGAGGTGTTAAAGGTAATAGAGCTCACTGTTTTAGGAAACCAATCTCCTAATGAACCAACCCCCCCCCCCTTTTTTTAGAAGTAAGCCTGACTGTGCAGTTACTGGAAAACTCATGTTTCCAAACACTACCCTTTCTTCAGTCAGGGCTCACAGATGCAGAACAGTGAAAGGCACCTGTAAGCACCACTTTCACCTGCTCTCTTATCTAGCCAAACAAACATATTCCACACAAATGCATTCAAATCCTTAAAATGTTTAAAAGAATGGTAGATGTTCAAATTGTTTATGCTCATAGCCACTCTGCCTCTAAAGGCCCCAGGCCCTCTGCCCCCATATTCAAAGGGGGAGACTTGCCCACCATGAACCAGCCCTTCCAGCCTCTTGTCTCAGGACTAAATGACTATAAAGCTGCCAGATGCCTTGAAAAGGGGGGAAAAAAGATTCAATGCAAGTTCTTGGAATAAAAGAAAGTATAAAAGACTCTGGAAAGAAACGAGGCAAAGGTCCTGAAAAGAAAAGGATGCAGGAATGAAACAAGAATTATGAACACAGCCAAGCTAGACAACATTTCAGAACAAGGACGTTATTGGTATTTGCGTGGAGGTAAGATGAACAGGGATGAGATGACCACAGCTGGACACCAGGGAGGCGAGCAAAGGCAGAGAAGCACCATAGGTCGGGGGAGGATAGCACATCAGAGGGAAGGTGATGTGTGAGCTCCACTGTGTCCCCACAGGGAGCTGTCTGAAGAGGGGCAAGGCCCCCATTTACAATGTGGCTGTAAAGTGATTTAATGTTCTTAGAACTCCTAGCTACCCATGGGAGCTCTCAGTCACCATGCTTTTATTTTATACATCAGATTTTAAATTTATGCAACCAAAGCCACAGTCCAGATAAGAGACCCAAGATAAAGAAGCAGAAAAGAGACGACTCGCTACCCCTGATCCTGTCACTCCAGCCCCATCCCACTACCCAGGAAGGCACCTACACCTTGGCCCACGCCCTTGGTGTTCAGCCAGGGTTGGAGATCTTTCCCCTGTTTATCCTATCCCAACCCAAGACTGAGATGTCTTTGCTTAAGTAAGTTTGTTCTGTAATGTTACCAACTCCTCCTGTTGAAGTACTTCATTTTTTCCCCATCCTCCTATTTTAAGACATTTTTGCTCCATCTCCTTTTCCCAAGGCCAGTGTCAAACCCTATTTCATAGAAATTTATGATGTTTCTAAGAAACTTGGTTCAGATTAACTGGCAACTTTATACCATAACTTGAGAAAAGTCTAGGGAAATATCGGGCCAAAAGGTAGAAAAGAAGGAAACTGAAGGGGGAAGAAGGGGAGGATTCTAGAAGAATCTCTCCATAAATCCTGTTTAGTAAAGTAACATGGTAACACTGGCTCACTACTGTTAACTTGTGCATCTTAGGAGCTTAGTGTCCTCCTCTAGAATTTTTATCTGCCACTTACTGATGCACGCTCATGTTCTGGACTAAAAACAACTATAAATAATGGTTTTAAGAAGTAATGAGAGTAGTAATGAGAGCTACATCTTGATTTTTGTCTAAACCCCGACCAAAAGGCAGGTACGGCCCCTCTTCCTTCTACCCTCTCGTCCTCCTCCTTAGAAGAAGGACGATATCCTGTTGGTTCTGCAAGTATGGGTTCCGGAGCAGCATCACCTGGGAACTCATTAGAAATGCAACTTTCTTGGGCTTCACCCTAGATCTAATGAATCAGAGACACTGGGAGTGGGGCCAGAAATGTTTTCACAAGCCCTCTGGGTGATACCAATGCTCACCCAAATTTGAGAACCACTGCTTTATTCTCTGCAACAGACACTGGAGAAGACTGTCAGAGTATAAAGAGGGGCAGGGCCACTGGACAAATCTTTCTGTTAACTATATGTCTTTTAACAACAGAATGATATTCAGTTAACCTGAATATCCTTATTAAATTTGCTCAGAATGATATTCAATTAATTATTTCTATAAATAAGTTGGTTTGTCTCATTAAACACTGAGAGGAATAGCAGAAAACACAAAAAAGATGGCTATGAGGACACTGACAGGTACAAAATAAAACCAGCCTGGTCTAGAATCACCCCTGGAAATCTCAGGAAGGTCAATGGTCCTGCAGCTGCCATCCCCACACCACCTCCTCAGGACCAACCAGGAATGAATGTTAGGTACTAGAGTAGCTCTAGGCCACAGACTCCAAAAGAAAAACTATTTAAAAAATAAACAATCTTAAATATTTTATTCAAACATTTTTAATCCAAAAACAACAGGCGTTTTATAGAGTGACTTTTTACAGCACCATGAGTCAGCGCTGACCTCATGCAGACCACCCACCATCTGGATGACATCCACGACCTCCTAGTCAGCTTTCTTTTCCCATTTGATTATTTGTAACACCACTATGGAGAAAGTTGAAATGGGAGTGAAGAAGGATGGGAGACAGGCAAAAAAAGTTACCCAAAGTTTCTGGAATGTTCCTTCTCTCTCTAGTTACATCTGAGAGCCTAATAATTGTTCCTTCTTTCCTTTCAGTTTTGAAACGTAATCGTCCAGATTCTTCATCATCATCATCTTCTTCATCTGATTCTTCTTTTATGTCCTTCTGGAGTTCCAAAGTTTCCATACCTCCCTACATTGCAGACATACAAAGCAAAAAGGGAGGGAGAGTGAGTTCATATTCTTTTGAATTAAATATTAACGCTAAAATATTTTTTTAAGTTGTTTACATTTAAGATATAAGAATACACGGGCCGGCCCGGTGGCGCACTGCTACAGTGCGCCACTTGGGAGCGCGGTGGCGCTCCCGCCCCGGGGTCCGAGCCCACCCACAAAACCGGTCCCCCCCAC